TCCAGGACACAAATATCCAGTGAGAGAGGGGAGAGCGGTCCCAGCTTCTTCACACTGAGGTTGTGTCCACCCATGAACTGCTACCTGTGTTAAGATAAGATAACTGCTTGAAACAGTATCCCATTTGGGGATTTGTGTATTTTTTTCTATCTACCTTAAAATGCTGCTGTTACTTTTGCCATCTCATTTCTGTCTGACTCTGGCTGATAATACCAGAAACTATCCCTTATCTGTTTCAAGTTCAGTTTCTCAATACTTCATTTGGGAGATGGGAAGATCTGCTTTCATGTTAGTTGTGAGGAGTGGTAATTAGATTCTTGCCATTCCCTCTCACTTCTGTCCTCATGGAGATCACAGACTGCAACAGCCCCCAGACTGCACAGCAAGATTATTAGTGCAGGTCTAGGTCTTCTGTTTGGGGTTCCATGGACAAAAGGAAGACTAGGTATGTTTCAAATGTAAAGCATCACTAGTAGGGGAGGTTTCCAGCATTTGGGGGAGCTGTTATCAAAAAAAGAACCCTTGGTATTGGGAAGGGCTCGGTTGAAAGCACTTCTTGCACTGTCTTCTAGGACTCAAAAAGGATGGTAAAGTTCTTTTGGAGGAAGCCAACAGGAAATTATCATGTTTAAGTGCATGCCTGCGCAGTAGAACTGATGGTGTTGGTTTGTCTGTAGCATTGAAGAGACAGCTTTTTACTGCAGTTACATGCAGTAGAAAAAAAAAATGTGTTTCTGTATTTTGGGTCTTCTGTGTAATGGGTAATGCTGTATATGCCAGCTAAACAAATATTTTTTTTATTCATGTTATTCATGGAAAGAATAAAATGCAGAAAGTCTTGTTCAACATCCAACCAGATTGCACAGCTATTGAACTGCAGGTTTGCTGAACTACTCCCTGGGCACATGTTGCTCCAAGACATGACAGCATTCATGCACTCGCTTTATTCTAGCTAGATCAAATACTGGGGGACTGGGACAGAATGAGATCAGAGCCCACAGGGTCCTGTCTGAGTAATTATTAGCAGTTTTAGTATCTATTAACACAATTTTTCTCTCCACAGAATTTGCCTAGCTGGAAAAGGAATATGGTGTTCTCATCACATAAAAGTGAAAAATCACCAAGATATTGTTTTAGGATTTACAACTGAGGGCACTTAATGGCTGTATCTTTCAGCCAAGATGGACTCAAAAAGAGAAATTTTTTCTTTAATAAAACACATTTTTCTCTGGTGACAGACTACATGCAGGAATGCTGCCACTGCAGTTCTCTGCTGAGCTGTGCAACAGATCAGTATCTGCAGCATATGTCTCTATTTCCATACAAATTATTGCAGTCTTCTTTTCTAAACCTATAGTTTTTATGCCAGAGCTTTTCTGTGATTACAGATTACTGGGACAACATCTTCACTATCAGTTCATGGCTTACTGGTTGACTAGGTGAACTGCCTTTGAACTGAGCTTGTTTTCTTTATGTTCTCCTGGGGAGTCTTTTTACATTGTTTATTTGTTTGTTTCTTATGTGGTTTGGTTTGGTTTGGTTCTTATGTTGTTGTTGCTGTTCTTGATTAATCTGTGATTAATCTGTGATAGACTTTGACTTTGTCCCCACTGCAACTTACTCTGTACTCAGCTCATGTGATCTACCTTTGTTATTCGTTGGGAAGGAGTGACACTCACTGGCCAGAAGATATAGTGCTGTAAAATAAGTGAATTTAAAGGGTCTTTTGAATGGTTTTAATGTGCGTTTTGGAAATGGAAAAGGAGAGAGTGTCTTAATACATAAAAACAGGAGAGAAGCAACAATTAGGGAGAAGTTACAAGACCTGCAGGCTGTATTAGCAGCATTTTCACGGTTCTGGGTTCCTTAGCAAAAAAGTGGCACCAGTTGTCCTCCCTTACACATCCTTATGCACCTACATCTTGGCACTTTGTGACATTTTTTTCTCAAATTTTTTGTAAACCTCTCTTCTTTTTTTTTCTTTTTGATGTTTACAAATTTTGTTACTTTTCCTGAGGCCTAATAGGAAATGTCATTGAAGATGTAGCAATAGTATCTTCAGGGTATGTAGGGATATCCAGTTCTTCTCTTTGCTTATCTTAGAGTGGAAAAGGTGTAAAGTGTACTGTCATTCTCAGTATCTTGATAGACAATATTTAGAATGGGAATAACCCCTGGATTTTTATTTATTACTAGTGAGGGCAGTAAAAGAAGACAAAGGTATTTTGAAAGGAGGTAACTGAAATGGCAGGAATCTGGAAGAAATGAAAGGGCTGTACTTGGAGGGAGTTACCATACCTTTGTACATGCATTTTGCCTAGAAATAAGATCTGCAGTAATGGCAGGAATAGAACAACAATTTATAAAAAAAATGAGAAGCAACAGACTGACTAGTTTCAAAAAGTACTTGGTACATTTTTGCTTGAGTTGGTTGATATGCTGATTTCAGGGACCAGATGGGTTTCTGTGTTCCTTTGACTATTGACTGAAGCGTGGTCTGAACTGAAAGAGAGCCAAGTTCTGTGTACTTTTAGCACTGCCCTGATGTGTGGATAAGTCTGTTCACCATTTTGTGTCATTCTCCATTTACCCATCACTGGGATTGCTAATTGGAAGTAAAAGATGTTTGGATAAAGAGCTGATGGAGCACAGCATCCAACAGAGTGGGGTACTCAGTGCCTGCAAGGGCTTCTGTGTACTAATGTACTGATCTCATATTAAATGTATAAAGAAAAAGAGACTCTTATGACCCTGCTTTACCTTACCTTTATATCTGCATTTTCTTTACATGGAAAACAGTCCTACTGTGTTAAGGAAAAGCTAAAGTTTTGCATATTCCCATGCCTAGACTATTCTGGTGTTGGATGCTGGCAACACCCTTATTCTGTAAACTCCTTACCAACTTGCTCTTTTTCGTTTGACAAAGACTGGCTTGTGTTTCAGTGTCTCTCCTGAAGACTTTGCTCTGTTTTTCATTTTTTAAAGTATCACTCTAGTAATGCTGGACTTCTGCCCCCTCAGCTGGCTGTGCTGGCTCTGCTACTCTTTGGTCAGTGTAGCAGCTCATTGAGTCAAAGTTAGGTTTTTTTGTGGAAGGGCAGGGGGCAATGGACTGAGGGCTGCTGTCCTTGGGAGCACTCCTGTGGGTCATTTTCCTTGGCAGAGAGAAAGGCTGCTCCTGCATCATGGGCAGTGCTGTTGGCCTTCCCATGCAGGCCCTGTGCTGCAGACCTGGCCCCATCCTGGGGACTCTCTGCTAGAGTCACTCCCCAGTGTCCCTGCCTGTCCCAGCCCTCCCAGCACAGCCTCACTGAGCTGACTTACTCAGCCTGCTGGCCATGCTCGAGTGCCTTGGGAAACACTAAATATAAAAGGCTAACTCAGCTGCTTCACACTGTTGAACTAAAGACTCATTCGTACTCTTTAGTCTGGTAAAATGTATAGTTTTGCTTCAGGTAATGACTGATTCTCAAATTTTATTAAAAAGGGTCATATGCTGAATATGCCTCTCTGGCTGGGCTTTAAATACATAGTTCCTAGATTGCAATAAATATTCCTTCAGCTTTGCAGTTACAAATACTTGATAACAGTACACTTATGTTTACTACTGTTTTATAAATTCTATATTTGTGTCTTATATCTCTTCTACCTTTTAATATTAACTACAATTAAATTCATACATGAATTATCATACAAATAAGCCTTTTGGAGCCTCTTGAGTGCACAAGAAAAGAATGTTTTCCAAAACATATTTGAATCCTTCCATATGAATCAGATTATACCATTTAAGTACAAGAGTGCACAGTAGCAGATATCAGATGGAGCAATTACATAACCAGCTATCAGATACTGTCCTCCTGCCTTCAACTCAAAAATTACTAGAAATACCCCACTGTCCATTGGGTGCTGCTAAAAAGCACTCAGTCAGTTGATTAGGAACTTGGATAATCCATGTTAATAGTGTGGATCAGAATAGGCAAATACTGAAGAAACACAAACTTGGTTCAGAGACAGTTGTACATGTAGAGCTCTAACTACTACTGAAGAAATCTAGTAATGAATGGTGGCCATGATCTTCTCAAATCTCAGCTTTTGAATAACAGTGTTAGAGTCCTTCCAGAGCCATAGGAATGGAAGCAGATGGGTTTTTTTATGACTTCAAATCCAGTTTTAGGCTTGAACAAGTCAGCATTGTCTATGTTAGCATGTACTTGCAATTTGCTTGCAGTGTGTGAATGACCAGACCAAGAGTGCCAGTTATGGGGATGAGAATTGTTTTCAGTGTTAATCATCTTCTGTTCTGTGTTCCTGGGGATCCCAAGGCAGTCTAAAACTCTTCAGCACTCCTACAAGAGGAAAAGGAAAGCTGAAGGCCCCTTGTGTGCCCACAGAAATTAGTGTTCCCCCAGTTTCCCTGGTTCTAGTCATAGTTTAAATGTGCTGCATAAAGAATATTGGCTCAGTCTACCCTCCATCTGAAGGAAACACGTATTCTGGGTGTTCATATGCAAGTAGTTCTTTGCAAAGGCTAAACCTGCATCTCTGTTGGTAGCTCTGTCTCTCTCTCTATACAGATATATACATACAAAATGCATCAGTGAGTAAATAAGTGGAACAGGCTGTCCAGGGATGTGGTGGAATCACCATCTTTGAAAGTGTTCAAAAAACATGTAGATGTGGCACCTGGTGGCCGTGAAAGTGTTAGGTTGATGTTTGGACTCAGTGATCTTAGAGGCCTTTTCCAACCTAAATGATTCTAGGATTCTGTATTATACCTTTTTGTATATTCCTTTATATCTGTGTGTATACATTTTTTTATTTATTCCACTTTTCTTGAAAGTTAATGAATGCAAAATGATGGTACTCACTTGACTAGGAAGAATTAACTGATTAAACACAAAGTACTTGTGGTGCAAAAAGTTATGTGAATGCAAGATAAAACTAGATGTAGATTTACAGTTCAACTTGACAACTCACTAAACACTATTTTCTTTTTACAGATTTCTCTTGGTGCTGATATGTTTAATATTCAGTGTACTGTCTACTATAGAGCATTATTCTGAATTTGCCACTGGAACCCTTTTCTGGATGGTAAGTGAACTTTTTTTTGGGAAAGACTAATCAATTTGACTAAATCTAGATTGCTTTGGGTGAGCAAGGGAGGCAACTGTTAAAAATCCTCATGCAAAGCATGTTACCAGAGCATTTTAAATAGTGCCTGATTTCATTAAAGGAAGTTCATAGTTTAATGGGGATGATGATTTTCTAAATCTTTTAACTATGAGAGTACTTTTTAGGTTAGCAGTTTTTATATACTTGTTTTTCCTAAGGTGTAGCTGTTATAGTGGACAATTGGTGCTCATCAGTCTCATGCAACATGGAACAGGATATTCTATAGGAATGGATTTTTAAAACATATATTTTCTAAGTCTTATGGTAAAAAATTGTCCAAGAACCATGCTTTCCAGAAGTATCTGAATCTTGGGGGTAAGTGACTTCTGTCAGCCTGGTTTGCTAATAAATAGAACAGGAAGGAAGAGCTTCTATCACACTTCTGTGCACCAGTGATTTGGCTTTGAAGATGGTGCTTGTTAACTGTGGTGGCTGTTACCAATCCACTGGGATCTCGGGTTCTGAAGCAGTTTTGTGCTTGGTATTTTGCAAAAACATTGTGTTACCTATCTAATTTCCTATTCTTCTTAGTGGCATATTAAGTAGTTATTTAAACAATAGGTGGTGTGATAGAAAAACCTCCTTACTTGGAGGTATAGAAAGGTCATTGCTTCTTTTCACGGTAGCCAGGGAATAGTTTTTTCCTCACTTGATTGTGTGGCTGATTTACAGATGAAGTGTAACTGAGCCCTGAGCTATTACATCTCTTAAAAAGTACGAAAACACATCCAGCAGCTATCTATAAACAATACTTAGTGGAAACAATACCATACAATGTTTTTAAGTGTTAATTTGAAGGAGGTGGGAAATAAAAGTACAATTAACTTGCATGAGGACTCTAGACAATGTTCCTCCTCTGCTCCCCCCTGCCCTTCTTCATATTTGAGTTAGAAATGGAGATGAAACGTCCTTGATAAAAATGGAGGAAATCACTTTTAAACAGTTGCTCATGATATCAGTATTTTAGCCAGTCAAATCCTTTGATCTCGGCGTGTGATAATCTCAGTATTCTCATTGCAGGTTTTTTGGCTAAGTGGTGACTTTTAACATGTTTTGGAATTTGTTTTTCCATCTGCTTTGAAAATAAAGAACAGTTATTTATTTGTTTTCTATAGCTTAGACTACATTAGATACGCAGCTTTTGCGTGCGACTGACTGAGCCATCATTAGGATCCCTGGGTTATTTTGAGATTTCGATTAATGTTAATCCTGTAACAAATGTTGCTTGGCCTTTAAGCCACACTCAGTGTCAAACAAAGTGCAGTATTCTGTGATGTTCTTACACTCACTGAGATGTCATGATGGCAGGTCAGCACAACCACCACCCGAAACAGCAGTCCTGGCAAGGGTTCAGTGCTGCGCCGATGGGTTCCGTGCAGATGGAATGTACATGTGCAGACACATATTGCTGGACAAAAAATAACCAGATGAAGACAGATGTGTGGCTCACATAGTGCCCACATAGCATTGCCAGCTATTTTTAAGTGATGTTATCACCTGACAAATGAATTGTGCATAGCCAGTGGCAGCACTGGAACAATTTCTTCCACCAGCCTGGAGGATACTTCTCTGGAGTTTATTTTCCTCCTGCTCTTCCCTTAGTTTCCTTCCTAGAAATGGCCAGCGTGGAGGTTAGCTGTTCTGCTGGCTACTGTAGATTCACTTGTCTAGAAAGCATTTGTCTTTAAAACTTATTTTGGTTTGAAATAAATGAGTTCTTCTTCACAGAGTTGTGAGGTTTCTTGTTGCTAAACGGTTAGATTCCTGCTTGGGATACTTCTCCCCACCTTTACCTGAAGGAGTTTCAAACTGAGTCTCCCATTTTACCCAGGAGAGAGGTCACCTCACAGAAAGGTGGAGATTTTTGTGCCCTTTACTAGATCATTACTCTGATCTGCTTCATACCATAGCTGACTGTTCATGTAATCAGAGTTTCTCTCACCAAAATGTGAAAACACATCCCTATGTATCCTGTCTTCTATGCCACTCTTCTCTCTTGAAAGTGAGAACAGTGGAGACTGCCAGTATAGTGAGAAAGAAAATTGGACCAAAGCACCTGTTGGATCAAGTTCAAGATTAAATTGATTTGTTTCTATCCTGGTTGAAGGACACTGCAATTCTTTGTATAGCCCTGGTAGTGTGTCAGGAGCAAATAAATACTAGTATGTGATGCTTGTATTATTTTCCCACTTGTGAAAAAACTCCAATTTCATTATATTGAGGCAGATTAACACTTGGGAAGGATCAGCTTCAAAAATGTCGTGTTGAAAGTTGGTAGGGCCTGACAAGAAGGATAGCATTCACTACTTGAAGACATTCAAAGTTTTTTTGTATTTTCTTGGAGTGGGTGAGATGATGTGACAAATAAAATTTTGGATACTATGTGTCACTGGAGTAGATATGGGACATTAGTAACAGATGTGGCTATAGATGAGTCCTAAGCCACTAAAGTCTTTGTGTTTCAAAGACTTAATTATGTTAATGTTCTTAAGTCATCTGAGTGGTCTAAGGTAATTTCTTGTCAGTGTGAAGCCTATCATCATTCAGACAAGCTATGGGAATATACCAGGGAGACAATATCATAGCAAGAAGGCCCCCCAAGACAGTGTTTGTAGTTTGAATGTCTGATAATCTTTGGAGAGTTTTTCCCAGCTCTGTCTGAGGGACATGACAGTGGCATTGACACAGTCAGTCATGCTGATAAACACCAACAGCATAGATAGTGAAGAGCATGATCCTTCCTGATTTATTTATCCTTGCAGAGAGAAGCTTAGGATTTCAAATAGTTTAAAAAATGGATCACAGGACTTTTCTGTTGAACAACAATGTACATCTTATTTCACAATCCACAAAGCTTAAATGTCCATACCGTTGATTTTTGAGATTGCTACACTGTAGTGTGCCACAAAAAGGAATCTCTGATTTCCCCAGCTTTGTTTGATCTTGGATCTGTACTGTTGGAAGCTTTTTCACTTGTCTTTCTATCAGTATTTAGGATCTGCTGCATAAGCAAATTCTTGTACAATGTCTGGGGAAAAAAGCACAATGGAACAAGCCACAGTTATGAATAAAGTATTTGCAACACTTAATACTACATTACAGCTGAGTTTCATTCCCAGTTGTCCATTCAATACCTGTATCTAAAATTTACTCAGATTGCATCTCACTGTGCTGCTCTTTGAATTGGTGCCAGCTGAATTAAAGTCCTCTATAAGAACCAGAGCATGATCTAGAAGCTTTCTTGAGCTGTTGCCTCTTGATGTCTCTTGTCTGATGTCCCTGTGTGTTTCTACTGGTATGTCATACCCTAAATATTGGAGCAGGTACTCTCTTAAGAAATCTTCAGTTTTGATCACCAGAACAAACTGGCAAAACTGAGCAGCAGACTGAGCCAAAAAAAGCAGTGTGAGGGATGATCACGGATAGTTCTGTAACTGGGACTGCTGGAAGGAGAGAACTTAGTGTAATGTAACTCAAAAGCGAGTTCCTGAAATAGTCTAGCCCAGGATGGGTTTATGACTTTGAGATACAATCTCACAAATTATCATGCCATGCCTGACTACCAGAAGGTGGGTAACCTGGTGTGTTCTAAGAATAACAGTTTGAGAGGAATGTGAATTTCTTGCCTTCTTGTGGACTGCATGGTAAAGACTTTTCCCAACAGGCCTATATGAGCATCAGAATTTTGGAACTGGTTTAAAATTCCTTTTTAAAAAATGGATTACTACTTTTGGTAAAAACAGGTAAGAAAAATCATGCTAATTAGCAGTCTTTTTTTCTCCCTGTTTAATTAGTCTCCATGAACTTTTGGTGCAGATGGAGATATTTGACAGAGTTGACTTGCCTTTCTAATAACTCTTTCCAAACAGAAGTCAAGGACAGTGATTGTGGGATTTCCTACACTCAGTCTTGAGCCAACACTGTTCACTGTCTTTGATAGAATTGACTCCTTTGTGTTTATCTGCTTCCTGCCCAAAGGTTTTCATAAGTGCTCCTTAAATTCCATGTGACTGAATGCAGGATGAGTTTGCCATTCCTGCCCGATCTGCAGAGCTGCATCTGCCTGTGCTTTTCTGACAGGAACTTGGCTCTTGAACAATGTTAATCTTGAAGAAGGCAAAAACCTGACAGTTTTCTTTTTGTCTTTATCTGTTGCTTGTTTGTTGTCTTTTTGTAACATAAAATTCTGTCAAGATGCATATTCTGAGAAATTAAGAATTAACTAGAAACCCTGCCTGCTTGAAGTAATTTCATACTTCAGCTCTTCGCTGATAAATTTAGAGATAATTTGGCAATAAATAATTTAAAAAGGAAAAAGTAGTCTTTAAATACTAAAGTTGGGTTTTATCTACTTGTTCTTAAAATAAATATATGTGCTTTTAACATTACCTTGGATCCCTGTCATAGATCAACTCTGTTTCCACTGACCATATCTCCCAGAGTTCTAACCATTTTACTTGTTTTTTGCTTTCACATGTTGAAATTTTCCCTGTGAGTTGAACTGATCTATCAAATCCGTGCTGATTGCTTATGATGTCTTTCAGTATAAAAATTTGGCTTGCTTAACTGTTCTTTTTGACTTTTAATATTTGTAACTTGTATGTAAGTCTTCCTTTTACACTCCTTGTTCTATGAATGATCTCTAAAATATTTTTTTTAAGATTTAACACTGCAGTGTTATGCTGCTTCAGCCACTTTCTTCTCTGGGAGGTCACCAAACTTGCATGGACATGTTGGCTTCCTGAGGGATAAACTCTACTTTCTTTTACACAACAGCTTTACATATTTTCATATTTAGTATTGTTGGGTGGCTGTTCAAAGCATAAAATGTCTTGAGCTATTCTCAGAGAGTTGCTGATGTATTAGCAGAGAGTTTTTGAATGACCATAGGCAAACCTTGAAGTCATAGAATCATGGAA